GCAAATGTTGAATCATCCTTGTATCTCTGGAATAAGTTTCACTTGAACATGGTCTATGATCCTTTTAATGTACTGTTGAATTTGGTTTGCTAATTTTTTGTTGAGGTTTTTTGCCTCTATGTTCATTCAGGATATTGGCCTGATAATTTTGATATTGGCTTAATTTTCTTTTCTTACTGTGTCCTTGTCTGGTTTTGATAAGTATGATGCTGGTATTATAAAATGAGATTGGAAATGTTATCTCCTCTTCTATTTTCTGAAATAGAAATAGAATATTTGAGAAGGATTAGTATTAATTCTTCTTTAAATGTTTAGTAAAATTCACTAGTGAATGAATGTATGGAATGGACATAAACAGGTAAAAGAGGGCAGGGAAAGCAAAGCTCATTTGTTTTTGTCCTTTATTTGATGACTGGTTATGCTGCTACCTTGTTTAATTTTGCAGCTAGAGCATGCATCAACCATGTGTCCTCAGGGGATTGTTTCAGGCAAGTTTTAGTCCTTGTAATTCAGGCTGCATATCATAGATGCTATCGATTTAATACTGGAATATTAACCGTGTATGCTGCAGTGCAATAAATAGCATAGCTTAGTTTGCTGCTGTTTAAAATTGTGACTGTTTCTAAAGAAATGTCTGTTTTTAAATCCATGTAGTCTGCAGGCACCAGCTAATCTAAATTTTGTAGCCTCTTAAATTTAAATGTTTTTCATGATTCTTTTAGTTGTTAACATGTAATATTTCTAGATCAGTTTGGGGTCAGCAATAACTTGTATCTCTCAAGAAAAGCTCACCTTTCTCTGTATTCTCATCTTGTGCACAGTTATTAATTGCTGCCCCTATAAAATAAGCAGACTTCTATGACAAAGGAACTTAGTTCCCTAGGACTCAAAGTTGGAGACCCACTGCCTGACATCCACCACTTGTCCATGTTCTGGCTGAGTGTTTGACCCATAACCACCTCCACATTCTCTACCTTTAGCCGGCTAACTAACAAAGAACTTTGTTACTTTTCTCCTTTCCTTTTTCTCTCATTCTGCCACTTCCCAAAGTTGTAGCCTTTGTAAATGCAAACATCATCATCTCAAGTCCACCACCAGCAGAGAGGGCATCATGGGGCTTGAGTTATCCAGTCAGGAGCAAGGAGCAGTAGATTTTTCCTATGAGCCACTGGAAAACTCCATACTTAATAGAAACTATAAAATTAGATGATCCAAAGACCTCTTCAATGTGGGGGTGGGGAGTGAATGGGATTAGATGGGTCATGATTATAACTGATGGTCAAATTCCTGGCTTATGTAGGACACCATTCCTCTGGCTGAATGCTGGGAAGATGGACACATTCAGGCTTGGGTAAACCATATGGTGAACTCAAGCATGGTGCCCAAGTAAAGGTAGAACAACTGACCAAAAATATCATTTCAATTTCTACCATGCATATATTGAATCTCTTCTGTTTAATCTAGTTAACTGTGGTTGATGCTTTCATTTTCTTTTCTTTTTTTTTGTAAGACACTCTGTATTTATTTGATGTTCAATACACTTTCCTTTCCAGAGAGAAGACATACAGTTTGAGATATCCCATTTAATAAATCCCCTGCTTCCAGCTGTACCTCCTGAATTTCTATGCCCATTAATCAAGCTTCAGTATTGTCACACATAGTGGGTAAAAATTTTCCCTGAGATCATAAAGCTGTGCCTTAGGTCACAGAATAATTTTTCCTCCAAAATTTAGGAGAAAAGGAAGAATCTAGAAGACTTCTGGTGGTGGAAGAGGCAGATAACTTAGGTAGAATTCCTGAGAAAAAAGTATAGAGACATCATGCCACTTATTAATATTTCCCTGGCTGTGAACTCTTATCCCTTCAACAGCTCCAAATATTCTAGAAGGGAATTCGTTTATTGCATATAAAGACACTTGATCTCAATGCTGTGTGCAAAGCAGGTTGGCTTCTGCTAACTGCCAGAGCTGTCTTGGTGCCTCAGTTTCCAGTAAAATGCAGGGCTAGTGAGGAATGTACAGCCTTTCCCCAGTGGCATGTGGAAAAGAGAAAAACTCAGACATGGATAATGGGAAAAAACTTATCACACTATGTGCTTGGTCAGGCCTGCTGTGCTTTTCACAATGGTCTGAAATCAAAACAGCTCATGATCCTCCACAAGTGGGAATGGGAAGAGACTTAGTGGATTATCACCTCCAGCCAGATCAAGTCAGCAAAGCATAAGGCAAATGGACACCTGCACGTGACATCCAGTCTTGGTGCACTGAGAGTCATCTCTGAAGGAAATGCAACTTCTGGCAGCCCCTTCTGGGTTGCAAGAAATCACATACAGAAACGATCATATGCTGGGATCAGTCAATCTTAGGTGGTGGTGTCAGTCCTCCACCCACCGTACCCGCCTAGAGTGGCACAATGGAATGACTGTGTTTCCTAGTGAGCGCTTCCCTTTTTAAAAATAAACAAGCAAAGTTTTCCCTAATCTGACGCAAATTCAACAGCCAGTCCTGGGGTGGAGAGAGTGGGGGATAGTGGGAATGGAAACCAGGCGTCAGGCAGACACGCTTGGGGACAATGTGCTGGAGAGTGTGCAGGCCTCTGAGGATGGAATAGTGTCAGGCCTGCTGAGCATCAGTAGTTGTGGTATTTTCGGAGACATCATTCCATGGACACAAGTCTCCCAATTCCATCTCTTAGGTTTTCTTGGGATAGTTCTGACAAGCTTTCACCACATCTTTTAAGAAGTTAGGAACTCCATTCTTGGCAGCCCAATTAATGATCCGGGATGGAATTTGGCTACCTGGGTTATGCGAACAACAAATGAAAACTTTGCTCCCCCTTTTGCCATCACTGTGGATCGCTATCTTCTGCTTGTAATGCTTCACCTGGATCACTCCCGATTTTTCCAGAAACTGTGGCATGGAGGTGCTCTGGGCCAGGATGACATGGACCTGCTGCCCTTCAAAGTCCAGGTCTTGTTGCTGCCGCCCGTAGACATACCCTCTGTTAGAAAGAGGGCTAGGGAAATCCACTTACCAGTAGGCCACTGCCTGTCCATTGCATTTCTTTCTTTTCATAGAGTTCTTTAACATGTTGGTCCCACTGTTTTCTATAGTCTAAGTCCATACAGACGTCTGCCAGTACAGCCAGTGGGCAATCCTCCAGAACAACAAAGACCTTATAAAGTCCAGTCTGGTTCACTAGCTGGTAGATCCTGATGTGCAAGGACTCCAACAGCAGCTGCCAGTTGGCCCCGGCAACTGCGGGCTTCTGGAGCTCTGTGCAGGCCTGCAAGAACTGCTCCTGGGAGAAGACACCAGGCCCAGTGGCCATCCTTCCACAGCCGTGGCACCATCTGCTTTCATTTTCAATAGTCAAGGAGGACTTTGATCATCTAGTCTGAGAGGGGACACTACCCTTACCACCTTCTAGTCATCCAAGACCTCAAACCCCATTCCTTTTGTGTTAGCACACACGGTCACATGCCTGGAACTATTAGGGCCTACTAAATGCTTATATTAGTAATTATATGAGTATAGGGTATTTGCATTTTATATGGATTTGCAAAAACAAATTACAAACTTGTTTTCAAAGAGGGGTCTGAGATTATGGAAGAAGTCTGAGCATCTCTAAGATTGAGATAACAATGGATAACGTTCAGCTTTTAAAAGTCTCTTCTTAGCATTTAGGTCTGCACTGTTCCTCTGACTTTAAAGATTGTTTATATACTACCAGGTCTTTTTTTTAAATTACATTTTATTTTTTAGAGCAGTTTTAGTTAAATACATAGATTTCCCACATACTCCCTCCTCGGTGCACCATCTCCCACACCATAAAGATCCCTCACAGAATGGTACATTTGTTACAATCGATGAACCTTCACTTAACATCATTATCACCCAAAGTCCATAGTTTACATTAGGATTCACTCTTGATTTTGTACATTCTATAGATTTTGACAAGTGTATAATGACATGTATTCACCATTATGGTAATAGTTACATTGCCCTAAAAATCCTCTCTGTCCACCTATTCATCCCTCTCTCCCCCATAACTACTAGCAACCACTGATCTTTTTAGTATCTCCATAGTTTTGCCTTTTCCACAGTGTTATAGTTGAAATCACACAGTGTGTAACCTTTTAGATTGCTCCTTTCATTTAGTAAAATGAGTTTAAGTTTCCTCCATGCCTTTTTATAGCTTGATAGCTCATTTCTATCAATGGAGTTATTGATATTCCATTGTCTGGGTGTACCACAGTTTATTTATTTGCCTGCTGAAAATGACATCTTGGTTGCTCCCAAGTTTTGGCAATTATGAATAAAGCTGCTATAAATATCCATGTTCAGGGATTTGTGTGGACATAAGTTTTCAACTCCTTTGGGTAAATACCAAAGAGTGTGATTGTTAGATCATATGATAAGAGTATATTTACTTTTGTAAGAAACTGCCACGCCACCTTCCAAAGTGGCTGTACCATTTAATATTCATCAGCAATGAATGAGAATTCCTGTTGCTCCACATCTTCACCAGCATTTTGTAACATCAGTGTTCTGGATTTTGGCCAGTCTTATATGTATTTAGTGGTATCTTACTGTTTTAATTTGCATTTCCCTAGTGACACATAATTCTGAGCAACTTTTCATATACTTATTTCCCACTTGTATATCTTCTTTGGTGAAGTGTCTGTTCCAATCTTTGCCCCACTTCTTAATTGTTTAAAAAAATTTTTTTTACTGTTGAGTTTTAAGGGTTATTTGGTGTATTTTGGATATCAGTCATTTTTCAGATGTCTTTTGCAAAAATTTCCTCCCAGTCTGTGGCTTATCTTCTCATTTTCTTTAGAGTTTTTAACAGAGTACAAGTGTAGATATCAGGGAGGGAATTTTTATACAATTCAACTGCAAAAAACAAACAAAAAAATCCAACCTGTTTCTGGCGCATAGATAATTGGAATTTTCACCAATTTGATGAGAATATAACTGCTGAAATGTCTGCATCTACATATAATAGTCACCAGTAATCTTTGGGAAAAAATTATGCTATATTAACCTTTTAAGTTAATGTTCTCTTCTTTTTAAAAGGAAAAATTTTAAGACATGAATTTTAATGTCTGGAATATCAAAGAGATGCTCAGTATTCCCTCAGGCACTGGGTAAGTCTTCTGGTTATATACTCTGATACTTAGGAGGATCTTTTTTTTTTAAACTGAAGTATAATTGATTTACAATGTTGTGTTAGTTTTTGGTATATAGAGGATCTTATAGTATTGATTTCATAGAAATAGGCTCCCCTTCCTATTAGTTTATTGTAATAGAGTTACCCCATATAGCTTCTTCCCCTTCTCTTCCCCTTGCTTGTTACTACTGCACCCTCCCATACTTGTCTTTTTCCTTTTGTCTGTTTTCTGATTATAAAATCAATGTCAATTCATCTGCGTATGTTAATTCTGTCCAGCACTGAACCTAGGGACTATGAGGTCTGTGAGAGTTAGACATGGTCAAAAATCTCGAAACTCTCACCTCAGTTACAGTGATTGCTATTGAAACAGCAAGGAGCAAACTCAAGACAATGTTCAGATGTGTTCAGTTGTATAGTACAATTTGCAGGTACTGTGGAATTTAAAACCACTCCAAGTGGTAACAAGACTCATTGAGATATTGCCCCCACTACTATCCACTGAGGTACTTATATTGGTGTCTATCAGCCATATAGTAAGCCTGCCATTGCTAACTTGGTGGGTGTACCCCAGTAGTAGTATTTATTAAGGAATTTCCAACTGGTTTTGGTATGCTTTTATCACTGGATAGTTTTTCTTCCTAACCCCTTCCTAAAGACAGCAAAAACCTAGGACATTGTCCTTTTATTTCTTGAAAAGAAAAAAAGTGCTTATAGTTGATACAGAGTAGGGGAGTAGGAAAAAATCTATGTTTAATTCCACATCATAGCTTTAAGATGTAAATCCTGCATGACTTCTGTAGGCTCACAGAGCTGTTTCTTTTCCAGCCCAGCTAATTATTCTCTGTGACCTAAGAAGAGAGTCACAGAGAGCTATTTAGCTATTTTGAGCAATGATTATGCAACCCATATTATAATACATGTGTGCAGCCCATTACATTAGCTAATCTTAGCAAATTATTCAATGAGTCAAAATAATTTCTCTTCTCTGTTCTGAACCAGTAGGGTTTGTTTTTGTCTTGTATTAATATATGATGATTCCTTTGGCTTAGAATATATACTTATATGCTATCTATTTTAAATTTAACATTTGGAAAAGGAATGATTTGCATGTGTGTGTTTTAATGAAAAGCATGTTTTCTTGGGTTATACAACAGCATTAAGTAACAAATTATTATTGAGATGTCTTAAGTAAAAACTTTAAGACTATATGTTTTACTTATATGCCTACTTATGTGCTGTCTCTGTAATAGGCTTAGTACACTGTATTCAAGTGTGTTTGTATCATTTTCAATATCATTATCCCCTTCATATGTGAGATTTAAAGACTGACATAGGTATTGATGGGAAGCAAGCTGGAAGTCAACAGCTGGAAATATTTAAAGCAAGGAAAAGACACTAAATGTGGGAAAGGGTTCCCCCTTGTCTTGAAAACAATGTTTAATGGATCTTCCTGTGTGCAAATCTGAGTTGATCATATTCTTCAGTCTGGATGAGGCCTGTATTAGTCTGCTTGGGCTGCTGTAACAAAGTGCAATAAATTGGATGGCTTAAACAACAGAAATTTATCTTCTCACTTGGAGATTGAAAGCCCTAGAACCCTATGCCAACATGATTGTCATTTGGTGAGGTCTCCCATCCTGGCTTGCAGACAACTGCATTTTTCTGTGTCCTCACATGGTGGAGAGAGAAAGAGAGGGCAAGCTCTTTGGTGTCTCTTCTTATAAGGACACTAATCAACATCGTAAGAGTCCCACCTTCCTCACTTCCTCTAACACTAATTACCTCCCAAAGGCCCCATTTCCAAATACCATCACAATAGAGATTAGAGCTTTAACATGTGAATTTGGGAGGACACAAATATTCAGTCCATATCTAGATCTATCTTGTGTTGTGTTATAGCTCCTTCTCTCCCTCCAATCCTGCTCCTTTTTTTCCCTATAGCCACACATTGTAGGAGAGTTAATGTGTGTCCTTCCAATTCATCTTCTACACATTTACATACCTGGTGTATATGATGTAGGCTTATACATTTACAGTATAAATGAGAATATTAATTGAATTTTTACACTTTTCTGCACGCAAAATTATATTTTTGAGACCTATCCATGTGGTTGTGTGTAAACCTGGCTTGTTACTTCTGACTACTGCATCAGTTACATGCTTACGCTATACTTTGTATCTATTCTCTTAGTGATGAACAAATTCAACCTTTTAAAAGATAATGTTCTCTTAATCCCTAAAAATTTTATAACCTTTAATCTCCAAAATGGTGTTATAGCCACAGTATTGTTGCACAAGGAATAACGGTGTTAGTCCTCAATGTTTGAATTTCCATCAGATTGTTCCCAGGGTGTTGTAATGAGTGTCTGGCATTCAAAATTTCCTTGCGTTTCTTTATAGGTAGTATTGTCAGTGTGCAGGGGACTAGGAGGTCAAAACAAACTAGCATTCTGCCCAGAATATTCTGAAATAGTTTTGAATTATGGTTTCATTTGTTCAGAATGTTTGTCCACTTGATATGCTTTTATTTTTTTACTTAATTTCAGGACCACTAAGTCATCTAACTGGAATAATAATCAGACTGATTACTCCAGTCTCAGTGATTCCCAGTTCCTTTTTGGATCCCAGTTCTGTCCAGAAAGTTCAGAGACCCTGTCAACACCCTTGGACTGTGGTGTCAACTTGAGACATCCGAAACAGTCACAACAAAATTCTCTGGATGTGAGTCTGATTGCCATATCTCTGCACACCTTTCACAACCATTATGGAGATAAGCTATAAAGACTTATTCTGCTGGATTGTATTTCAGAATTGTACATGTCTAAGGATTACTCTCCTAAAATAGATTTGTACTTGATTGGTGACTCATTTGACTGGGTAGTCTGAAATGGAAAACATATTTATGTTTGCAGTTTCTTCCATTACTAAAACAATATAGAATAGTGCCAGTACGTTGACCACTCCTAGGGAGTGTCAAAGACTAGTCGTTCTATTTTCTCAGTACGTGACATTTCCTAAGACTAGTTGTACTACTGTTTGTGAATACTCAAAAAGAAAAAAGAACTTTAGGAATAAATTAACAAATTGTATTTTATATGGACATTTTTCTCCTAAGAAACTTTAGGTGCTTTGTGGATTTTAGTTTACTCTGCCATATTAGCTCCTTGAAGAAGATGAGGATTCTGAGACCTAAGATGATGAATAAGGGCCAGAATGAGGAAGACAGCCTCAAGTCCTTGATTTTTTTAAAACCTTTTTGGGGGGGAGGTAGTTAGATTTGTTTGTTTGTTTGTTTGTTTAAATGGAGGTGCTGGAGATTGAACCCAGGACCTTGTGCATGATAGGCAGGCACTCTACCACTGAGCTATATTCTCCCCTCCAGTTCCTTGATTTTTTTGAGACCAGCCTGTCTTTTGTGCGTCAGAAATATTTTTATTTATTTGTTTTGGTCTAGAACCAGATTTAACTTTATACACAGACCTAACTGCATTAAATAGAGACTTGCTGAATACGATTAGGTCAGTGCTTTAAGGTAGTAAGGTGTACTCTGAAATAAGTATTTCATTTCATAACTTGGTACCCAGTGATATGAAGGAGTAAATGTACCCCCTGAATGTTTAAGTTTTGCCTCAGAATGCAGGAAATGGCTCACCATGTGCCAGCATTCCATGTCAAACTTATCAACAGGTCTAGTTCACCAGCAGCTGAGCAACAGCAATCTGAGTTAAACTTACTAGTATAAAAACTTTAACACATCATCTCAGAGATGGCATAATTTTCTGTTGTTGCCTTTAAATTTATGCAGTTGATTTTAAGCCATTTTAGCTGACATTTTAAATATCTCTGGGCTGGTAAGGCAGAAACTATGTTAGTAAAAAAGTTGCTTTATTTTAATATGATTTTCTGATGCATTTGAAATAAAAAGGAAATACTACATATGGTGTTATATTTTAGTATTATAGTTTGCACTTAAGTGTGACTCTGCATTGTACAGAAAATAGTGAATGCTATAAATATTTTCATGTGGGAAATGCTATGACTTTTTTTTTCATTGAACAGAGTGAACCTAGTATTTTCACAAAGTACCAAACAAAACCCCAGCTGTTTGGAGGAGATTCAAAAGATGGAGACTTATTTCCTCTTCCTTTGTCAGTTGGAAAATCAAAAGGCCTCCTGGAACAGTTTGAGGAGAAAAAGAAAAGTGCAAAAGACAAATGTGACAGGTACATAAATCTTTCAACTGGATGGGGCAACTCTTTTCTGAGGGAAACAGAAAATGGAATGTCAATAGTCAAATAATTCAATTTCAGCATAATAGCACTCTTGCCTTTGCAGCTCATCTAATAATTATTAATTTACTTCCTTGTCAGTGTGACTTATGGCAGATTTGAACATGGCTGCCATAGTTTTGGCCCATCTGGATATTAAGCTAAAGGATTTCTCAGAGAAATGCAATATTCAAGTAATGTTATGTCTATTCTGCCTAAAATTCTGCCCTTTGTTTTCTTTTCAGATCATCAGAATTAGGAAATTAGTTAACATTTGTTTCAGGGTCAAGAATATAGCACATGAATTCTTAAGTCACAGTTCAGGCTGAATTTCTCACTTTGAAATGTTGGCATTTTTAAAGATAAACCCTAAATTTCATACACATTCTTATTACATATGTTCGTATGTATATGAGAAATATTAGGGCTGTCATATTAATTTGTAAATAAATAAGTTACAGTCACTGAGGAAATTAACTAGTTCACTTTGTGGTAACGTTATCAGGACATCTTTAGGTATCACAGAAATCATAAAACCCAAGCAGAAATATACTTTATTATTTCTGTGATAGTGGAGCTATATTGCTTAGTGTTACCACCAGTACATTCATCTTGAAAGAACCAGAATTTCTTAAAGAATTCTAGACTAGGAATATTTAAAAGTCTTTAAAAGATTAGGTATCCTTCCCACTGTATACCTGTTTTCCTTTAGTGAGAAAGACAGAATGCTCTATTTGAAGTATTTGATTCTGTTGATAAATAAACATTTGCCGGATATTGACAGACTTCTTTCCCCTAGGAATCCAGGCTCTAGGACTCTTAACTATGGTAGGGTACTGCACATGAGCAAGCCCTCATCTTCTTCACTGCTTCAGATAGAGTAGTCTTAATTTTTTTGTTCTCTGGGCTTTTGGATTATATTTTGTTTGATCAAGATTTCTGTAGCTAAAAAAAATTTTGTGAAAAATTAAGTCTCTCTTGATATTTCCTTCCTTCTTTCCTTCCCTCCTTTCTCTTTACATTTCATTTCCTTCTCTTTTTTGTAGTGAGATGAGTTTCTGTTAACAATTATTTACAAGATGGCAAAAAAAAAGTATTTCTATAGAGAGAACCAATGATGAGGACACTGAAGAATCTCTTCTCCATTAAAAAAATTCAAGCTTATGATAGTGATTTAAATGCTAGGCAGAAGATACTGATTTTAATAAATCCTGGCAAAAACAAACCCCAAGATTTTAGATTTCTTGTTTTCTGTCAATAAGTGCTTACCAGAAATGTGGTGAGGAGTAGGAAATTTTTAAATGAGAGAGAGAGAGAACATACCACTGTAAATTTGGAAGCAGGAAAGTGATAAGGCATTTTACAGAGTTCAAACATAAGAGATGCTACAAATCCAGAATACATGGATTGTGTTTTGAAAGTTCATATTTTCCCAAATGTATGGAAAGAGCGTGTAAGGTTAAGAAATCTTAAAAGAAATCTTAATCATTCAGACTGCATTTGTTATGACTTTTTGTAGCAAATAAAAACACACCCCAATCTAGCCTAGACAAAAAGGAGGATATATTAGCTCTCTTAACCAGTCTGGAAAGGACAGGGAGTGAAATCAAATTAGAATCTGTCTCTCTTCTGTGCTCCTCTCTCCATCTATACTTCATTCTCTCCTACTAGAGACCAGCTTCCCACTAACAAAGAGAAAGAGACTCACTTCCCTTAGTTACAATTTGAAAATCCTAGTGAAAACTTCTGATAGGCTTGCTTATTAGGTCATGAGGGTGACTGGAGGGCAGTGTCACTGGAAGTCCTCACTAGAATCACTTTCTGGGTGCAGAAAGAAACAGTTCCCCATTAGAGGACGACGCTGGGCACACCAGACAATAGATGGTCATTACCAAGATTATTATTTTTTAATCAGTCATGTTTGAGAAAACAGATTAGTCTCATAACCAATGTATAACCTAAGGCCCACAAATAGATTATAAAATGAACCATGTTTTTTCAGTGATTGTTAATCACCATAGTGAAATTTGTTCATTCACTCACTCAACAAACACTATGCTAGGCCCAATACTGCAAACTGGGGATCCCAAGGGAAAGAATAATAGTACTTGTCTTTGGAGTTCTCAATGTGGTCAGGGAAACAGATATGTGATGGATAAATTATACAAGTGGGCCAGAGATATTAGTTGTAAGCAACAGAAATGTTCATTTAAATGAAAAAGAAATTTATTAAAAGGTTACTGGAATGGGTTTTGGTTCTGAGTAAGATGGAGTATGCATACTTTATCCTATCTCTCCCACTGAATGCAACTAAGCCCTGGATGGTGTGCATGTAGCATATGAGGACCCTGAAAAATAAATGGTAGCAGATGGATTGGAGAAGGAAACCTGAAGTATCAAAGTCTAGCCTTGAGTTTTCTGGGATTTTGTTCGTTTTTAACCAAAATGTAAAATGTTTGCTCTGCAACAGACACTGTTAAGAAAACTAAAAGACAAGCTACAGACTGGGAAAAAATATTTGTAAACCACATTTGCAACAAAGGACTTGTATCCAGAATAAAAAGAACTCTCAAAACTCAACAATAAGAAACAAGCAACTGAATGAAAAATGGGAGAAGATTTTGGCAGATACTCCATTAAAGAAAACATTAAGGAAAACATAAGGATAACAAATAAGTATGTGAGAAGTTGCTCAACACCATTAGTTAATACAAATTAAAATCATGAGATGTTACTCCTTATCTATTAGTGTGGCTAAAATTAAAACAAACAAAAACTGACAATACCAAGTGCTGGACAAGGATATAGACCACATGGAAATCTTGCTGGTGGAAATGCAAAATAATGCAGCCACTGTGGAAAAGTTTGACAGTTTCTTATAAAATAAACATAAGTTACTATATGCCTCTGCAATTCTAATCCTAGGCATGTATCCTAGATAAATGAAAACTTATGTTTACACAAAAGTCTATCCAGTAAATTTTATAGCAGCCTTGTTCATAACCACCAAAAACTGGGTACAACCCAAATGTCCTTCAATGTGTGAATGGGTAAACAAACTATGGTGTGGTGGAACACTACTCAGCAATGGAAAAGAAAAACTGTTGCTACACAACAACATGGATGAATCTCAGAGGCACTGTGCTGAGTGAAAGAAATCAGTCAAAGATTACATACTGTATGATTCCATTTATATGATATTCTGAGAAAGGCAAAACTATAGAGATGGGGAATAGATAAGTGATTACCAGGAGTTAGGGGGCCGAGGGCTGGACTTTACCACAGAGACACAGCATGAAGGATTTTCTGGGATACTGTCCTATATTCTGAGTGTGGTGGTGGTTACATGAATCTTAAATTTGTGTTAAAACTCACAGAACTGTGTACACAGACATGTTAATTTCCTATGTCAATTTAAATTTTTAAAGTGTTAAAAATTATTAAAAGATATTGAATGGTTCATTTTATTAGAATTACGTTCAACTGCATTGACATGTATACACTCATTCTTATAATAACAGAAGCTTAAAAAGTTATTTTTCTTTAATGTAAAAATCATCCTGAAATGTGTGGTCCAGGGCTAAAATGGTGGCTCCATGGTCCTCAAGGATCTGGGTCCTTCCATCAGTGTGATCTGCCATCACTAAAATATGATCTACACCCCCTCACACACACACATCCTCACAGTGCTTGGTGGCTGCTGGAGTTGTTACATCAGAGTTCCAGACAGCTGATGGATGATGAAGGAAGGAAGGAAGGAAGGTATCTTCCCTAAAGGATTCTCCTTGGAAGTTGCATGCAACACTTATATCTCCCACTGCCTAAACTTTACTCTCATGGCCACACCTAGCTGCATGGGAGTCTAGGAATGTAATCTATCTGGCTGAGAGTGCACTGGGTAGGGATGGGATAGGTAAAACAGGATTACAATTTCCAAGGAAGAAAATTAGGCCAGTTTAAGTTTCTGCCACAATCATACAATTGCCAACAACTACCTGCCATGGACAACTTCCCAAACCAAGTCTCAAAATTAGTCCCGTGCAGATTCTGCTACCCACTACCCCCTGCACGGAATGCACTGGACCCTTCCCTGCATTGTAGTCAGTGTAGTCCTGGATACTTTTACCAGTCTCATGGAGCTCCATCTTTCTACCACTATAGCCACAGACACCAGAGGAAGAGCTCACAGTCTTTTTGTCCTGACTCCCAGTCTGGCAAGGCATGTGTGAGGGGAGAGCCCAGGGTTCAGGAAAAGCTCAGAAAGCAAGCCACTGACACTCTCAGCCTCTAGAGGAAAGAAACTCTGCTTCATCTCAAATCCCTAAACTCCTCAAACAGAAAAGAGGGTCAGATACAGAACAGCCCCCCTAAAAAGAATCCAGACTTTCATTCTAAGTACAAAGTTGTAAATGCTGTAGTAGAGGTTTCAGCTAATGCTTTGGGAACCCTGAGGACAGACTTCTAGCTCTGACTGGGGGCGTCAGGAGAGACTCCATCCAAGGGAGCACATCTAAACTGAGTGGGAGTTTTGGGCAGAGATCTTGAGTCTGTCAGGCTCTCAAGTCTGCCTCTGAATCAGCTTACTCTGTAAACCACCATTAACACTGTTTTATATAACTCTGCTCTATTTTCACGTATTTTCAAAAATAAAAATGGGATTATTTCCTATGGACTATTTTCAATCTGCTTTTTAAATTTAATATTTAATGATTGTATTTCTATTTTGTCTACAAAATCATTTCTAATGCATTGTACTTTATCATATGGATCATTTATGGGAGTATGTTTTAAATATTTAATACAGCATTAGAACTGCCAAGAATACACAATGAGGTAATGATAATCTTTTCAACAAATAGTGTTGGGAAAACTAGATACTTATGCAACAGAATGGAAAAGGACCCTTAACTTACACCATACACAAAAATCAACTGAAAATGGATTAAAGACTAACACGAGACATGAAACCGTAGAACACCTAGAAGAAAACATAGGGGAAAAGCTTCTTGACAGTGGCCTTGGCAGTGATGTCTTGGATATGACACCAGCAGCACAGTCAACAAAAGCAAAAATAGACAAGACTTTTTTCAAAAGTGGGATATTTGAGGAATAATTATAATAATTTCTTTTTCATTAGAAATTAATATTATTCCCAGAATAGTCTCTATACTACCTCTTTCTTACAGTCAAAATAATATTCATTAGACTAAGATGTGTCTGGGAATTTTGGACTACCAGAAAGAAGTCACTATCTTGAAGCCATGTTGCCATAAAAAGGAAAGCTAGTCTGTTCTACTGTAGTAACCACTTGACTTGCTAAAGTTTATCCTCATTTAAGATCTACATAGAATAAATTTTAAAAAACAAGTGGTTTGGAAATACTCATAAAAAAATCAGTGTTCTTGTTTTTTCCAGATGGACATTAAGGTTTCTCAGGGTTGAGTCTTTAATGCTACACTAGGTAGACTCCTGCCATATTCATGGAATCAATTCTGTTACACACTGTTTCAATATTTCACAAATATTTTCTTTCTTCTCCCCTATTTCAGTGAGACTCTATACAACTTCATTTCCCATATCAGAGAAGGCATTCACAGGGTAAGTACAGCCACATTTCAAGGAGTTAGAACATCTTACATTTTAAGAAGTTGAATAATTATATTGACCTTTGTTCATGTAGAATGGCAATATTTTAATTACTCTTTATAATTAAATGACAATTTGCCAAGTTAGTAAAATAAGGCAACAGTCTGTGAATTATTTCTTAATTTTGGGTTTCTTAGTTACAGACATCTGTGGAAAAATCTGAGGAACATCTCAGTTCAAGAAGCCAATCTATTTTGGATTCTTTGGAGACTGTGGCCAAGACAAGTGAGTGTCTCATGTTTGAGGTTATCAGCAGGGGGCACTGGCGAGCAGTGACCCTGAACTTTCTGACCCTAGCCAGGTTTCTGCCAGTGGTGAGGTTCCAACAGCGTTTCAGATAAGAGGATGGGTACATAAGATTCGCCCTGAAGAGATGTGGAGCTCGCTAAACTGGGTAGTGGGCCCCATCTCTATATGGGAATGCCCTGGTCCCTCGATGCCTTTTTTGAAGGACTAATCCTGCACCTAAGTAACCCTGCAGCCTCAGGACAGATAGTTCTGCCAGATTTCTCATCCTACTGCCTGAAGTGAATCAACAGCACCCCTGAGTCCCAATTGAATTGCTAGTTGTGTTGTCTATGAAGACTCCCTTGTTCCTTTAGGACTTTGAAATTAAGACACTGCTCCTTTAGGAGTTAGAAATACTTCAGTCACCTACTGTTCTTCTTGCTTCCTTCATTTCAATGAGAGCCGTTTTGTAATGAATCATAGCATCTTTCTCAATTTCAGTTACAGTTTGTGGTTTGCAAAGTCCTCTGCTCTGCCAGTTAGTGATTTATGTTTAGGTGAAACCATGGTCCAGGCTTTTATTTAACAGAAGAGAACCATTACACAGCTCTCCTTAGACAAATGCTTCCCTAGAACCAACAGCTTCTCAGCTAAACAGCAAGATGATAACTGCATCTGCACTTGTTTGCATTTGTCTGTGTTGTTTATTTTTTATTTTAAACGAATTGAAGTCAATTTATTCAAATGCCATGGAATGGATTGCTCATGATTTACAAAAATTAAGCCTTCGTGTAGCTTAGAAATTGATCCCCATCTGTCTGCAAAGAAGCACTCTACTGTCTGCTGGCTTCCAACCTGAGTATCCCACACACAGGGCAACTGTCCATCTGTTTGAAATCCAGTTTTGGAAGCGTAGGACTGTTACCCTTACAAGTAGCAAGTCAAAGAGCAGAAGCAAAAAGGATGCTTCTTTTGCTTAACATGATAAAATAACTCATCAGTAAGTGCCCAAGGAAAGCACTCTTTTTGCTATATTTGAAACTGGGTGAAGCACAAAAAGGAAGGTTGCAGCAAAGGTGTGGCATTCCCAGAATAGGGAATGGAAGTGCCCAAGGGCCCAACACAGGATCAAGGCAGAGAGAGGAATATAACAGAGTCTGGCTTATAGTAGGCGTAGGAATACTGATCCTTCACCCCTGATGGTTCCTTAACTTTCAGAGTGTAAGATTCAGGAGAGCCACATTGATAAGGCAAACAGTAACAAACACTGTGACATTATATTAGTTAGAAAGCCAGGTCATTCTTTAAAGTAGGCACAAGTGGCGTGTCCAGAATCATTCCCTTTCTTAGTAGGTAGTGATCAGAACCTGGAAGTTAGTCACTGAGAGAGGAGCCAGACAAATCCTCTGTCGTATGGCTGTGCCCAGTCCGACTAGCCTAGAGAATTGAACTTGCCAGTCAGTGCATCCTATAGGCTTGCAGCTTGCTCATAAGGGAAGGGGGAAGGTACTATGGGAAAGCACTCTCTTGGGTTATTGTATAATTGATGCCTTCAGAGAAGGAGGTCATGAAATCTTTCCCCAGTCTCAGTCTGCCTCTACAACCAAAATTATTCAGTCACCTAACCTAACCTAACTCCTCTTCTTCAGCTGAGGACACCAAGGACCAAAGTAGTAGAATTTATTATCAGTGCCATCCACATTCCACTTCATCTTGAGTTTGGGTGGAGTAGTTAGTAGAAAGCAGTACTTTTGCCTAATAGATATCAGTTCTATTAAAAAAGTGATCATTAGGAAAATAAATAAGAGGGGCCACTATCAAAATCTATTTTTGGAAAATAGACAACTCTATATGTCAAAATTAATTCCATATGAGTCAATATCAAGCGTGGTGATTAAATCATAAATAGAGCTTTAGGAAAACATGAGCAACATTTTTATAATTTTATTTTTATTTAAAAATTATATTTTTAATTATAGAATATTGTTAGAATAATACAGATGTAGATAGACTTTAGAATAACTGTGACCAATACCATAAGGAAAGCTGCTCTACATACGTACCATAGAAAACAGGCACAGTGTTCAGGGTGTGTGATCATCCATACTAAAATTACCGACGGCCGATGTTATCAAATATCAAGTAAACAGCAATTCAGAGTGGTCTCTCAGAGTCACAGTTCCCTGGCCCCAAAAGGGAGATTCCCAACCAATGTCTCGTCAATACAAAAGGGGAGAACCCCCAAACAGCACCCCATCAGAGATGAAGTTGAATGAATGCCCAAGGCTAGTCCCAAAAGGGAAAATCCCAACCAATGTTCCGCCACCGGTGAAGCCAATGCAATAGAGGATACTCCGGTGTCATCACAAGTGAAGCAAGCTTCAGTAATCACTAAAGACATCTCAACCAGCCAATGGGAGTATTGATACACACACATACGAACAACAAACACAGTCCCACAATCAAAAGATCAGAAGAAGTATAGTCCAGAAATTCCACTTTCACTCCCAGATGGAGGCTTCCATAGTGGCCTGGCTCCCGAAAGAGAATGGACCAAGAGTGGCTCCCAGTGGGCCCAGAATGGCTCACTTCCTGGAAGGGAATGAGCCCAGATGGAGAGGGTAGAATTTTCCCATCCTGCACAAGCCCGGGACACTCAACCTTAGAATGATACACACAAAAACACAAACAACAAATAGACTCCAGTCTCACAGACAATCAGAGGAGGTGTAATCTAAAAATTCCATTTCCACTCGCAGACGGAGGCCTCCAAATTGGCTCTGATCTCGAAAGAGAATGGACACAGAGTCGCTTGCAACAAGCCCAGATGGAACAGAGAGAATTTCCAGCCTGCGCAAGCTGGAGCTACTCACCCACAAGCTACACTGAACCAGACGTTTCTTAGCTCCATACAGCTTGCTCGATGGCCAGTGCTTGTCAGGGAGAGTCCCTCTGAGTTCCCTGGAGTGAAATGAGTTCCAGCAGCTGCTGGGGACCCAGGGAAGGGCTGGCCTTGGGCACAGACTCCTGGCTGGCTTAGCCAAAATTGTTATTGAACACAAGTTCACGTACTAGACGCACAGTGCGGCCAAAAAATATTGAACTGCTCCAAACAGAATTCGGAGCAGAGGAAGTTTTATTACTGGGCCGAGGAGGGAGAACAAGTTGCTTATGCCCCAGAAAATCCTGAACTCCTCAAAGGGTTTCAGCTGAGCATTTTTAAGGCCTGCTGAGGGAGAGGCATCCTAGGGTCTGTGATCAGCTGTGCACAATTCTCTGGTTGATGATGATCAATCCTTAGGCGCCAGGTCTGGGGGCTACATGCTCATGATCATCCAGTACTTAATTTCTTCCATTTGGTGGTGACTTTTAGCATTTAAAAAACTCAGGAAATATGCATGAGAAACAATTATCTGGGTACTTCAGAGAGGAGATACAGTAGAGGACATGGGGGAGGGGTCTACCCCAGGAAGGCCCAGTAGGGTCCTGCTTGATTACATTACCTGGAACCCTCTGCCCACTGAGACATTTTTCAAGTCTCATCTTTTTTCCTGATATTCTGAGATTCAAGCAGAAACGTGCCACAAACCATAAAATAATTTAGTAAGGTATCAGAAATTAACAAAAGATGTAATGGGAAAAAAGATGCCATTTATAATTCCAATACAAGATAAACTGCTTAGGAATAAACTTAACACACAACACACCCATTTTTTTGAGTGGCTTCTGGGCTTTATGTTTTGCTTAGAAAGCTCTTCTCCACTACAAGTTTACAATTCCCACCATGTTTCCTTCTTGTACTCTATGGTTTATTTAATTATATTAAAATTGTTAAACTATCTAGAATTTACGTTAATATAAGAAAACTGAAATACAAGCTTCCTTTCAGGAAGGGAATTATGTTCTATTCTAAAGAGAAGCTCTGAAGTAAATCATTTGAACTTAAAAGAGCCTGTATTAGGTACCAAGTGTAAACCCCTGCCCTGAGTTAAGACAATAGAGACAGAATGGTTAGAACATAGGGAACTAACCAAAGCACCTGTCGTAGAGAGGTGAGTTTTCAAGGAAGACTAAATTTGAGTCTTTTATCCTGTCCTTTAAGCACCAGATGTTACTCTGGTTTTGCTTCCATTTATTGTGAAGGGTTAAGCACTCTCTTGTTGCCAAATTGTCTTTTACTCATCTAAAATGAAAAAAAATTGTCAAGAATCTTCAAACACACTCCATATAGTTATGAGAAAATAAATAGAATATCTGGTGTATTATTCCTGATTATTTGCAAATTGTACTTGTTATGCATTTAATATGTATGTGACTTTATAAAAATGTCCCTGTGCTTTCCCTCTTAGAGCTCAGGCTTTATTTTCTAAAGTAGAAAAAGCCAGGAAAAGAGTTTTTAAATGGCCATTAAAATTCTTTGTCCTTTTCTACAGGCATTTGAAATAAGCCTAAATAAGTAAAAGAACTTCTGATAGTTTCTAAACTAAAACATATTGTGGAGCTTTGATATTCTTAACAGGATTTTGGTAGAGAGCCAGGTTAATTAACTTGTAAATAGCTAACTGATTTGTCCCAATGCCATGACTTAAAAATCCATCCTTTCCCCATTGATTTCAAATCACTGTTTTTATTTGGGTCAATTCTGATCTCTGTTCTGGTTTTGTGTCCAGTCTTTCCCCCACTAGTTCACATTGCAGGAAGAGTTCTCCTTTTAAAGGGAAAATGTAATCATGTCAACCCTCTGCTTACCTGTGTCAATGAATGAAGTCTTAGAATCAGGCTACAGATCCTCTGTCTGGCTGTGTCCTCCACTCAGGCCACCTTCCCCTCTCCCATCATGCTTCAGCCATGGTGATTTCATGGTTCCTCTTTGGAGAACCTGCTCTTTTTTTCTGTTGGTAATATTCTTTTCCCCATAGGTTAACAATAATTCAGCTAAATATCACTTTCTTAGGGAAGTCTTAACTCATCCTCAAGAATGGACTAGATCTGCCTGTTATACGGTCTCCAGTTTGATATATAGCTCCTTGAGTTTCTATAAATAGTCCTTTGTATAGTTACTCATTTACTACCTGTTTTCCCTATTAAACAGTAATTTCAAGAGAGCTTTATCTATTTTGATCACTGTTATAACCAGAGAACATGGCTCAGTGCCCTAGTATAGTAGATACTCATTAAGTATTTGTTGAATAAATGTAAGAGCATCTTCACATGACCTGTTGTTTAGCAAGAGGATGGCAATAATTAATTGCAACACAATGTGTTTTTAAATAAATTGTGTGTGTGTGTGTGTGTAAAATCTCCTCATGCAAAAGAGGGGAATCGGTACCAGTCCTGAGTGCTTGGCACTCAGGTCACCATATCCATTAGAGCCCAAAATGTAAAGAGGAGAGAAATTAGTGAAGGACCGTAAGTGATGGTAGAGCACACATGGTGCCACCAGCAGAGAGAAGCAGCATCCAAGCCAGACAGGAAATGATATTTTCCAAGGAGGTGACTGCTGAGAGCAGAAGGAAGAATAGGAATTAGTTGGACTGAGGTGGTGGTTGAGGGGATGGTAGAGTGACAGATGGAAGCAGGAGTACTCTAAGCTGAGGGAACAGCATGGACAACAGCCCATGGTGAGGGAGAGATGGCGTAGCAACAGGGCTCAGAGACGCAGAGGATAGTGGATAAAGGGAAGTGAGCCTGGGTCTTGTTAGCCAATTGAAAGATTTGGACTTCATCCAGTGGCTGGGGCGGGGGGGGTGCCACCGACAGTTTCAGTGAAGGTTTCAGAGAGGGCACGATCATATCTATGTTCTAGAAAGATCACGCTAATGACAGGGCCAAGAAGGTAGGCTATGGAGAAGGCAGCACGTTTCAGGGCCCCTAGCAGGTGCTAGAGTTGAGTCTCCTTTGGCCAGGATGTTGTCAGGGAGGGAGGGAAGAAGAGACAGTGGAGGAACCACCCTGTTCTGGCTTCTTCTCCTCACCAGGGCTGATCTGGAAGATTAGAATCCCGGGTGCTAGCAGAGCAGGCTCAGGTAGCCCCTGCCAGGTTCCAGCTCCTCCCTCTCCAACACTGTGGTCTGGGCAGGATGGGACATACCATAGTCTTCACGTGGTGAATTGTCTTTGTTCTGTATTTAGTGCAGGAGACCACGCAGGCCCAGAGTGACCTGGTGTTGCAAACAGTGCAGGACAAGGGCAACATGGAGCAGCAGGCCATTCTTGAGCTGCAAAAGAGGTTTGAAGCTGTAAGTGTAAACCCTGACCTCTTTCCCCAAGTATGTTTCTGGCTTTGTTACTAAGACCTTGAAAGATACCTTGAAAATTGCAAATTTTCAGCCAAAAACATAGGCCACCACAGGTCCCTTGGTAACAGGCCAGCATAGAGGCCAGATTCCTCCCCCAAGGTCCTCCGGCAGGATGTGGACCCTAGGGGTCCTGCTACAGGTACCGTGCTTCCCCTGTACAGTACCCAACAAGGGACAAGGTTTGGTTCTGCTGGCCCATCCTTGGTTTTGTTCACACATTTTATTGTACATTCTGAGTTGCACTGTCCATAACTCTCTGCTTTCTCACTGCCTCTCTTTAGAAACAAGCAGAGTTTATAGAAATGAAGTCCAACCTGCAGCGCCTTGAAGCTTTAGTTGCCCAGCAGAGTAAGGACTTCCAGCAGCTGTGTGAGCAGCTAAGCCAGCTGAATATGCCCAGTGTCCTAGCAGAGCTAAAGAGGCTGATCTCCGTCCCTCAGAGACCCCGGCATGTGAAAGACAGCACTTCCCAGACCTCCCCACCTCTGGCTCAGAGCCTCAGTTTCACCAGGCAGGACAAATATGCCTCTAAGGAACCAGTTACATGGCAGGCCCAGGCCCTCCCTGCTGCAAGCAACCTTAGTGTGGGCTCCCCGAGGCCGGGGGAATTTGGTGTCTGGGGTGAGGGAACACAGAGTGATGCTCTCCAAGAAGAGGCTGCACGGCCGGCACTTGGAACTGGCAAACAAAACAGGCAAATAAAGGACAAGGCAGTGCAGACTAACTGCCAGAATTGGGCTATTGCTAAAACAGGCTCCGAGAACCAAGGCTCTGGCATCCTGAGCCACACAGTTCCTGGTGACAGGGACCTGGTTTCCCAAGGAGCCTCGCAGCTTATATTCCTGGACTTGAACAATTTTGCAGCCAACATTAAGAACACCTGCCAGAAATGTCAAGCCAAAGGCATGTTTTCTTGTGACCCTTGTGAACAAATAATGGTGACTGAACAGAAAGGCAGAACTGTAGAAAGAGGGAGGAGAGGCAAGAAGCAGCAGCCCAGGAAAGCCCCCAGAGGCAGGCGCCTAGCCAGGAAGCAAGAACAAACCCCCAGCAAAACCTGTGCTTCCAATTCTAAATATTCTCAGCCTCCAGTTTCTGACCCACAGAGGCCCCTCCCTGGGCAGCAGGAACCCCTTACTCAGCCTCTGCATCTTCAGGGCCTCCGGAGCCCCACAAAGCCAGTCTGTCCTGCTCTGGGAGGAAGAGTCATGCCCAGTAAGACAGCAAGGGCAGTGCCAGGGAACCTCTTGCAGCTCAGCGGGCACTCTTCCCAAGACAACAGTTTGCTTTCTCACAGTTCCCAGGGGGACCACCAGATAAGCTGGTTCAGCGACCTCAGCCTCAGAAAAGAGCCCCCTCTCTGGAAGGAGCCAGGGAAGAACATGCTCTATGACCTGGGTTTTGATAGCAGCGATGATGGCTTCTGACCAGCCCGTAGTGACTTCAGCTGATGACTTATTGGTCTCAGCTAGAAAAATACCCCAGAACACTTTGGAAAGTCCCTGAAGCCTGCCTGGGACTCTCAGGGTCAGAGGCTGTGCTTGTGGGTGGGCAATGCAGAGATGGGGAGCAGATCTGGCATTCTGGGTGCCAGGTGCTGCCCATGACAGCGCATATGGGATAAATGCATCTTTATTAATGGGAATAAAACATGGAAGATGGTGGTGGTGAGAGCTGGGGCAACAGCCCGGGTGTGGGGCATCGGGAGAGGGTGCCGCCTTTGGTAGGAGGACTGCCTTCCCTATCGAATATCCAGCAGCAGAAGGGCTCTCACAAAGCTGTTGCTGTGGCAGCTTGACTCCCAAACACAACATTTTTGGACTTCAAAACATTTCCTTCACATGACCAATATCTTTCCGGGCCTCAGGACTTAAAAAAAATATATTATATAAAAATTGTTATTTTTGCTGCCACAGCATGTGCATTTTTTGGTCAATGGACATATTATAGGACATATTAAGTCAGAATTCTTGTGAATAGAGAAATAGTGTTAAAGCTGCCAGTATAAGAGAGGTGACCTGAATCAAACAATGCCCAGAGCAGCACTCTTTACAGCCACACAGTTCGATTTCTCTTCCTGGCTGTTTTCCCCTGTCCTGTTTTCAACCACTCTTTCAAACCTAATGAGGGCAGCTGTGGGCCCTGTATCATTTCTGGAGAGCAGTGGGCTTATATGAGACTTGGGCTTTCCATTTATAGCTTGCTAAAGTTTTTGAATTTTTGCAATATATATTTCTTTTGTAATATAAAATAAATCAAAAAATAAAGATAAAATGTTTAAAATCATATATGCTTTTTCTTTTAAGTTGATTGATCTCCCATCCATTTACTCAAGGAGATCAAATAGATAAGATGCTTACTATCTTTTTATTCCCTACACTTTTTTTCCCTACACTTCTAACAAGATGATTTTGAATAAACCACACCCTACTCAAACTGATTTTTTTGTTTTCTTCTTTTTCTTATGAAAGTAAAAATCCTCATGGATAGACAGCTTCCAGAATTTGCCCTTTTACAAGCCTCTACAGTAAATGACACTGGGGCCTCTGAGTGGACCATTATAAAAAGTAGTGGTTCTTGATTTCTTATTTTTATATTCTTTATTTTCAGGGGTATGTATCCCACAAAAATCTGGGAGAGTTTAATTTGCCTGCAAGAACTTTGGCAGGGGTACCAGGCACCAGCATAAGTGGTTTTCACTCTCACTTCCAGACCAAGGGCCTTCCGTGGTCTGTAGCCACAGGCAATGGCAGCAGCCACCCCCACGACCCCCACCAAGGCCAGGGAAGTGCAGACTCTGCCTCAGGCTGTCCTAGCCTCTCCTCTCCCTGTGGGTCTCACTGGATATCTGGTCCCCCCCTATCCCCCACCAGCCTCCACTGCCTCACCTGCCGGTTTTCTCTGCTTGTGCAAGGAAGGCAGGGAGGAAGGAGCCCAGCCACACAGAGGATTCCTTCCAGCCGTTCCCAGACTGACTACAGGTGGCTGCCCAGCAGTTCAGCATGCTTGTAGACTAGAGATCTGAATCTGGAAATGTTTTATTGCTCTAGGTTGAAATGTTTAATCATTTTAATTCAAAGTTGAAACTCTGTTGAGGGAACTCCACCAGTATTTATGACTGTGGCCTTCTCACTGAAGGGTCTGTTCAACTTTGAAATGCCAAAGCAGGACCCTCTGTTCTTTGATTCTGCTGTGTGTTATGAAATCCTGTATTTCTTCAGAAGTATTTCATTTTGTTTAAAGTCAAAGGTCAGGGTGACTCAGTGTTCCATGAGCTGGGTGTTTTTGTAGAATGAGCAGTAAATTTAACTCCTAACAAGGCTGGGTTAATTAAAATTATACTGCCTGTCTCTGGCAGTCATCAGGAAAGGATATTCTATTTCTTATTTTATTCCTAAGGTTTTTTTTTTAACTACTGTGTTCCTGCCAAATTTGGTGAGCATGACACAGCCCAGGCACGTCCCTGGAGCACACAACGTTTTTGGCTCTTTGGATGCTAATAGAGACGTATGTGGCTACACAGGGGCGGATGTGGTGGGAGGTCTGTTGGCCTCGGGCCCACCTAGGGGTTCCTCCCTCTGATACAACTCCAGCTACAGCCTGAGGATGGAAATGAAGCCAGCTGCAGCCCCTAATTGTCTTGACATTCGAGTATCAACTTAAATGTCACCTATAGAGAGGCCTTTTCCTGCCCTCTTCTGAAGGAGCTCGCCATACTCACTGCCCACACCCTTACCCTGTTTTAATTTTCTTCACACAGCTCCATCTGAAATGATGTATGAAATCACTATTTTTGTGCTTTGCCCACCTTACACAGTGGAATATAAACTCCAGAAGCAACAGCAGCATCTGCCTCATCCCTACTGTATCCTCAGCATCCTGGAGAGTGTCTGACACTTGATAAATACTTGCAGAGGGCAGGGATTGCTTGCTTATCATTCAAACTGCTCCTGGCAGCCTGTCCTGAAAGCTGGGTCTCTTGAGCATCTTTCTACAACTTCCCTTTTTTGTCTTTTGTTTCAGAAGTTGCAAAGGGCTCCTGATGAGGGTTCTGTAAGATGCCCATTCCTCTCTCCCAGGCCAGCTCCCACCTAAAGTGCCCATAAAACAACAGCCTTTTGCCCTCAAAAAAGATAGTTGCTTCCTACAAGGTTAGAGCAGTTCTGAAATTTTTCTTCATGCCAGGCTTTAGGCCAAAACTCTTCAACAAATCAGGCATTTTCGAACAGGCCTATCACAGAAAGTCCTTCCCCACTAGGATTGGAATCCACTGTCAAGTAGACTTCCTGAATAAAACTTTGTTCCCTCTATAAATATTTAGCTGGAACCTAAAATACTAATGTTCTCCCACGTACTCCAGGGAGAAAGCAAATTGCCAGAACCTCAGAATGTCCTGGGATGACAATCTTTTTAGTAACGACCATAATCAGGTGCAGCAGCCTCCCCGGTTTGCTTTCCTCATTCACCGGTCTTCACTGCCACATTAAATGTCTTGTGCCTCAGTTAGGTGAGGTACCACGGGGTACTGGGTGAGTCCCTGGCTGGCCATTCAAGAGGAGGGAGATTGGCTTTTTTTGCAAATCCTTTTCATCAATTTCTTTGATCCTTAACAGCTCACAACTCCTCCAGTTGCAGGATGGTGTTGCTGCCCTAGCAGCACATTCCTGGGTGCAAAGGCAGGAACAATCCCCTTGACCCCAAGGTTGTCTGTCTCCTTCCTCCAGGTCTCCTGACCCCTTGGAGTCTTCCCTGGGACTGGGGGGTCCAGGAGAATGCCAAGGAGCCAGGGCAGAGGGCGGGGGGTGGCTCTCCCATTTTCCTAGTAAGGGGAGCAGGAGGCATGGGGAAGAAACCCTGAGAAGGTTGGCTTGTGTGCCTGATTGTGCTGGCTGGAGCCACACAGAGACAGAGGCTTACTAACCACAGGGGCCCCCCAGAGCCCACCTGGCAAGAATACAGACTCCAGTCTTGACCCGTGTGGCTAGACAGCCACACCCAGGAATGTGAGGAACATCGCAATCCGGATGGGGCTGAGTGCAGGGTCACCGTTCCAGCCCTTGGACATCCTTGAATTATCCTCTTAAAAGAACTGTTGCTCTGCTCCCAGGGCTCAACTGTGACCTCCCCTCCTCGCTGGACCGTCACTCAGCATTCACTCATCTCTCCTTTTTCCTGTCCCTTCTTCCTTGGCTTTCCCACTCCCTCTGTCCCCCAGCCTCTCCTAGCTTCTACAGACCAGCTCCTGCCATAAGTATTGCTACAGAGGTTATCAGTCTGCATACAGAGATGGTTTCTAGTGACTTTGGCACCAACCCAGTGGGATGCATCCAGGGGACCTGGAAACTCCTCCTTATTGGACTAAATGGGCCCAGCTTCTCACATGCCTTGTGCTGTTGCTTGAACTTGCAGCTGGCGACTAGCAGGTTCCAAAGCTCCTATTTATTCTTGAAGCTGCCTTGTTTCTATTTTGATTCTGCTAATCCAAACTGCAGTTTGGTGTTTCCACGGAAACAATTCAGTGATTGTTTGGTTTGCCAAGATGAACTGCGGGGGAGAAAACCAAATGACGTAAAACATTTTTAGTTTCTCAAATATCAATGTCTCCCCAAGAAGTCTTTGGTCCCAGCTCTGTGCAAACCTGAGGAAGTTTTATTAAAATAAATGTTCTACGTTCCTGTTCTTCCTCCAGATAAATCCCTGGAGATCCACTTTCCAGACTCCTGCTCTGTGCAGATGAGCACACATCTGTCTGCTGCCCTGAAGTAGATGACAAAGGCAGGAAGGTCTCCTTTGGGCACCTTGGGGAGCAAGGGATACAGAGACAGGAGGCAGATGTCCCCAGGGAAGTAACCATGTGGCCACCCCTGCTACTCTGGGACTGGCATGCCAGAGGCTCAGGGCTCACCTGCTTGACTGAACAGCTGTGTTTCTACAGTGAGGAAAAGCTCCTCATTTAAGGATTCCAGGATGAATTAGCCCTTTGGAAAATCTGAATTTTCACATAACAGCTTTGCTAAAACAGAGGTATATTGGTCTCTCCAGCCAGGGATATCCTGAACCCTTCTCCCACCACACTCCGACCTCACGGGCTGCAGGCAGTCTCTGCTGCAGGCAATAAAAACTTTCTCATTCCAGTCCTGTAGGGCTAGGGCTGGATCCCCATTCCTAGCAGCCACTCCCTCTGCAAAACCTCTCCTGGGGAATGAGAACTGAGCTCTGAGAAACAGCTCGGGGACACCTAGAGCTTCCAGCCCTGAGAGTCCAGCACCCACAGGGAAGGGTGGGCCCCTCGTCAGCGCCCTGCTGAGCCCCCCCCACCCCCCCGCAGCAGGCCTGGGACCTGCCCCAGACCCCAGAAACTGTGATGGTCACCTCTGGGCAGGTGACAGCTGCTTGGTGGAGATGAGGGTTTTCAAAACAACTCTATCCCTGCGCACAGGGGAACAAGGTCGTAAGGAGAGTAGGGCTTGGCATGCAGCCGCCATTTCTCCTGCCCTCAGTGCCTGCGCCCCTCGCAGAGCTGCCAATGGCTTTGTGTTGGCAGAGCATCTGGAGGGTCATGACCCTCTGTGGTCAGTAGGAGCCACTATGAGGAGGGTCTAGGGAAGAATTTACCATTTAATGTGTCCACTGCAGATACATTAAAAAATACAGACAAAAAGAGGGGCGGGTATAGCTTAGTGGCAGAGCGCAGTGCTTAGCATGCACGAGGTTCTGGGTTCAATCCCTGGTACCTCCATTAAAAATAATAATAATAAATGAATAAACAAACCTAATTACCTCCCACCCCAAAAACAAAAAACAAACAAAAAAATACAGACAAAAAAATTACTTAAATCCTCCTTGTCCCTTCTCTAACAATTTTCTGCCCATGTGCTCACACACATCTCTCAAACTTGGGATCAACTACATAAAAAAATTTTTTTAATTTTAGAATAACAGATTTACAGAAAAGTTGTAAAGATAATGAGTTCATATACACCTTTCACCCAGCTTCTTTTTGTCTTTTTAAATTTTTAAAAAAATTTTCACCCAGCTTCTCTTAATGTTAACATCTTGCATAACTGTGGCATATTTGTCAAAACTAAGAAATATTAACTAACCTTGAGACTTTATTTAGATCTCATCTGGTTTTTTTCCATTAATGTCCTCTTTCTGTTCCAGGATACAGTCCAGGATACCACATTGCATTTACCTCAGTGTTTGTCCACTGCTCTGAGGCAGTTTCTCATGCCCTTGACAGTCAGGAGTACTGGCCTGGTATCCTGCAGAATGCCCCCCAGTCTGGGTTTGTCTGATGGTCGTCTCCTGATTAGCTCAGGGATGAGGGTTTGGTAGGAACAGCACGGAAACAAAGTGCCTTTCTCATTGCACCTGCACAAAGGTGGGCGAGTGCACAGGACATCACTGCTGGCCCACCTTCGTCGTTGGTTACACGGTGTCTGCAGGCTCCTCCATGTCATCTACTAGCTTTCTCTTCCCTGCTCTAGTCCTGGGAAGCCAGGCACAAAGTCCAGCTCACCCTCAAGGGGTGGTGAGGCAGGGGCTGGGGGCTGGGGATTAAGCTCCATCTCCTCCATAGGAGAGTGTCCACATCAGCACGTGTTATTTAGAGAGCACTGCTGGGAGACCTGGATTTTTTGAGTATCAAGTAGCCAGACATCTCTCCATCCAGATGGCCCCTTCTCCCCACAGCGGGGTAGCAGAGGAGGCTGTGAGCATTTCCTCTCATTTGTTCCTGTCCTTCCTGCTCAGGAAGAAAACCCTCGTCCCCAGCTCTAGTCTGAGTACTTACTGAGGATGCCACCACCTGCAAGGAATGAGTGTCAGGTGGCCTGGGAAGAGCCTCTGGTTAGCTTGTCCTGCCCTCTACCCCAGACAGGGCAGTGGCGGTGGCTGTGCCTGCAGGGGAGGCCCGTCTAGCAAAGTGGCCAGAGGCTAGTTCTCAGGGTGCACAGGTGCCTGGTCTCGCAACACTAAGGAGTAAGTGCACGCAGGTCTCCAGACCTGCGGTGGAGGAGTGTTGCCAGCTCTGCGGCCTGCCCTGTGCTGGGTCTCTGGACTAAAATATGGCCTGGTAGGGTGTCTGAGGCCTCTGGGCCTTCCTCCCCAGCTCTTTGTTTTGGGCTTTGGGTCTTACAGCCCCCCTCACCAGCCCTCTCACCCACCTCCTCCCACATCAGCGTGGGAGGTGGGCAGTCCCTGAGACTCAGTTTCTGGGAGGCACCACGCCTTGCCCAACAGCTTATTAGGTTTCCTGGAAGAACATCATGGCTTTGAGAGATTTGTCCAAATAATTTCTAATGATGTCCTTTCTCTCTAGGGGTGGGGCTAGAGACAGCCCTGCTAAGTTTTTGCTGCTATGCTGACCTAAGAGGGCAGTCGCCTGATCCTTCCTTCATTCCCTTGTCCATTTGGCCCCAGCAGGGTCACTGTCATGGAAACCACCTGTAGCCTCCAAGGTGTCCAGGCCTGGAGTGGGATGGATGAGGCTCAGGATCTGGGCTTATCCCTCCCCTCCTCCCTCAGCTGAGGGCCCAGGTGTTGATGGGGGGGGTGTGGTAGGGAGGCCTCATGGGAATGTCCTGTTAGGAGGGGACCAGGGATACTGTCAGCCCCTTTGACACAAGTAGGAGGGTGGGAGGTCTTTGCAGAGGCCTTTGAGCTGGGCAGTGGCAGGGATGGAGGGACTGAGGGAAGGCTGGTCTGGACATGAGGGCATGGGGCACATGCAGGAGACAGGCAGCTCTATGTACAGAGCGTGCAAAAGTGGCAGACGGCCTGGGGCCAAGGTCCGTCTCAACACCATACAGGCTGAGCTGACCTAGAATGGGCTGGTCCTGGGGGTATGGAAAGCCCACCCTGGTTGTAGCCAATGTAATTTTTAAGGGGCCCATGGAAAAGAACACCAAGAGACCAACGGAGGCCCATGACCCGTACCTGCCTTGGGTACTGGGTATATTGAACATCAATCAAAAAAAAAAAAAGAAGAAAGGAAAGAAAGAAAGGATAGAAAGGAAAGAAGGAAAGAAAGGAAAGGAAGGAAAGAAAGGAAAGAAAGGAAAGGAAGGAAAGAAAGGAAGAAAGAAAGAAAGGAAGGAAGGAAGAGAGGGAGGGAGGGAGGAAGGGAGGAAGGAAGGAAGAAAAGAAACATTCAAGATGGCAAGAAAAGTGAGAGAAAAAAAACAACCCAACAACAATAAGAAACATTTTCAAAGCAAAAGAATTAAAAAAGAAAACAACAAAAAACCTGGGCTCTCAGCTCAAAAAGAGACACAACTAGAAGTTAAAAACATTGGGGTAATTCAGATTCTGCCAATTCTTTGAAGAATGTGGCCCCCAATGACGACTGACTGCTCTGCACAGGTGCCCCATCCTCAGTCTCCTGCTGTAAAAAGAATCAAAGCTGAAGTCAACCATCCTTACTCAATTTGGTATTTAAAAGAGGTCATCAAATTGTAGTCCTCTTCCAAGTCCAGAACAGTCTCCACGATATTGCGGTCATCGAAAGCCTGCTTGAAGCTGCCAGGGTCGGCATCCGAGGCCTCCTGAGGGCTCTCGTCCACCAGTAGGGCCCAGGCTTCCTCCTTGAAGGGTGAATCATCGCAGTGACCACACACGCGGTTCAACTCGTTTTCAAATTCTAGTTTTCCAGCCAATTCCTCAATAGTTCGAATGCTTGTATGGTCTTAAAAATAAAAACATTCAGCATTACAAATCCAGTGAGGGATTCTAAAGACATTCCAGGCACAAGTTATAAACCACAAATGGGCAGCCACCTCCTGAGACTGGGCAAGGCCACCGTTCGTGCCCCAGAGCCGGCGGGCTGCCAGATTTTAAGATGGGCCTCGTGCCCTCCTTCTAAGCCCAGGCATTTATTGACCCCAACCACCTGCCAGCCTCCAAGGAAGGTGTAATAGAGATGCCTGCACCTGTCCTGGCTCTCAGGGAACTCCCTGACCTGCAGGAATGACCAGACAGTGTAAGAAAAGTAGGATCTTTTGGGTAAGCAAAACACTGCCTGCCATCGGCAAGGCCCCTGCAAGGTGAGCGAAGGTGGTGATCACTTCCATTCACCTCCTGGAGCTACTGGAGGAGACCTAGTTCACCAAAGCGGTGGACTGGAAGGGGTCCTGCTTTATGGCCTTGGGCAAGTACCTCCCCTCACCAGGCCTCCTTCCATCCTCAAAACCTGGAGACCCTTCAGAGCCAACAGCTTCAGACAGCCCCCACGGCGATGTGCATATCCCTTAATTAGGAGCCTTCTGTCCACTGTGTAGTGTGTCACTTTAAAATAGGGCTCACATAGTTCACACACAGAATATACAGGTGTATGTGTAGAAAAAATGTGACAGGATGCACATCACTGTGTTAATAGTGGCTGTCTCTGTGGTGGAATTACAGGGGAGCTTCTGCCTTCTAACCTTGTGTCTAACCTTGTATTACCCACCCCAGCTGGACCACTCCCCCACCCCATCTTCGCCTATGTTCTGTTTCCTTCAGAACTAAGCTCAACCCAGGGGGCTGCTGTCCCTGGCCTCCAGGGATTCGCTCTAAGCGTACATTTATGAAATGACCCGGTTGATGTGTGAGCCCTCAGCTCGTGAGGGCTCTAAGCACAGAGCCTGCCGTGAGCAAAACAAATCTACCAAATCAATGGATGAGAAATAAGTCTGGTCTTTTTATAACACACTTCCTGACTCGGAGCCTGTGTGCAGGACCTGTCCTCCCAGGGAGAGGATGGACTGGCCCTCTGTACTCACCGATCATATCAAGCAGATCCTTTGTGACCTCATGGCTAGAACTGCTGAGTGGCAGGTTTGAATCAACCTTCAAATCTTTCTCCGTATCTTTCCTGCAGCCCCCAAGTGAAAAGAAAAAGGTGGGGCATTAGATCCTCTTTCAAGAAAATACTGGAGGGGAACTCAGTGTTAGATAATCTTAAAGACAAAACGGGTAACTTTAAACTGTCGTTTATGCTGTGATTAGAGGACAACTGGGAACCGCTAAATCAGGGAGGTTGACTAATAGCCTCATCAGAACGACTCATGAGCATCGGATTGCCCATTAGTGTCTGTGAACACCAGCATAAATATTTGTAGAATTGAAACAATTAAATGGCTTCTTCAGTCTCTGTCTACAGGACAGCTGTGACGGCAGGACCTTGAAGTTTCAGCCCACATGGTCCTCCTTGCCCCAAATCAAGATGTCTAGAACCAGGCAGTTTACAGCTACCTGGGAGAAAAAAAGGTCTAACGGAGACCTTATCCCAGGGAAAATCTTAAAAGCTCCTGGGTGGGGAAGGGGAGCAGAAGCAAGGATGAAGTCATGAAGCAGGGCCCAGCTATTCAACAGCCTCTCCCCAGAGGGGACAAAAAACACTGGAGTAAAGTGACTTCTAAAATCAGGTTAACACTCACTACCCCTGTCAGTACTGCAGTGGTTTCCATGACTGGTGAGACATCCTAGCCCTTAATACACACACACACTCAGACACACACACACGTTCCTAAGCCAGATTTAGGATCTTCGATAGTTTTTTTTCAGATATGAGACCCCCTGATGTAGCTATTAACCTATCAGATTGGAGTCACCTTAGACTGTCTTTTTTCCAGTTCTCCCCATCTCCTGCAGCTCTCCAAAACTGCCTTTCAGGTGCCAAAATGGAGGAATGCATCAGGATGTTTTCCTTGCTGGTCAGAGGTTTTCTTTGGGGGCAGAAAGTGTGTGGCTTGGCATTCACGGGACCATGGTTTGGCGCAAAGGTAGGGCTCCCGTTCTCGGGAGTACAGTGAAAAGGAGAGGAGGGAGCCGCAGAGGAGCAGGCTGCCAGCGGGTGCCTCCTGCAGAGGAGCCGGTGCGCAGGGAGCGGGGTGGAAAGCGGCGCTGTGTCCAGCTCCAGCCCCTGCCGGCCTGAGCACTCCTGGGAATGACTGACTCCTTCAAAGGCTCGGTCAATGGCTGCAGTCAGCTCCTTTCTGCATCTTCTCAGTTTTTCAGACATGTCTTTATTATGTAATACACTGGAAATGGAGAGCAACGCGAGAATAATGTGACAGATGAGGTTGCAAACCACTCCCGATTGGGGCATTTGCCACGATTTCCTTGCGCTTGAGCCACACCACGGGCCAGGGAGCAGGGGGACCCACACTCCAGCCGCTTTCCTCCCCGGCGGTGGGGTGTTGGGTGAGACCCGCAGTTTTCGGGAGGGAGGAACCAGGATCCCGCCGGAGCGCCCGGGCCACCGGGCCCTCTTCCCTCGGCTCCCACGCCCGCCCGCCCCTCAGCCCTGCCCGCAACCCACTCGCAACCCGCTCGGCTCTCAAGCCGCTGACCCGGCCCCACCCTGCGCCCGGCCGGCCCTCGATGACCGCGCGTCCTCACCGAGCAGCGCGACCACACCGCCGACCCCGCCAACGGTCGCCGCGCGACCCGAGCGATCGCCAGTGCCCCCCCCCCGGGCCCAACCCCCACGGCTCGGGTTAAAGGTCAGACCAAAAAAGCCCGAACGACCCGGCTCTTTGAACCCACGCAGCGCGAAGGCAGCGCGGCCTCGCGTGGGTGGGGGTGCGACAGGGACAAGTGTGGGGAGGCCAGGCCGCCGAGAACCGGCTGGAGGGGCGGGGACCTCACTTGTAACCAAGTCAGCAGCCAGAGCGGGAGCCCTTTTCAAGCCCAGGAAGGTTCCGTTCTCAAGCCAACATGGAGAGAAACCACTGCATGGGACACAGTACCTAGCGGTTTCCTGTACGGACTTCTTTTAGGTGAGATCTAATCAAAGTTCCACTTGGTATCCCACTGTCTCAATTCATCAAGGATAGTGGGGGCATGACAACTGCTAGGCTCCCCTGAGACCGAGGGCCAGGAAACCCCAACACCAAGTACCTTCATTTCATTAGGGGGAAGAAGGCTGGAAAGATGACTCAAAGGGAAACAGAAATGGGCTTCAGTGGCTAATTTTTAGGGAAATATAATCCCATCTCAGTGCACAGCAAGGGAGGAGACGACATCAAATTTACTCGAGGCTTGGTTTACTGTGGGCAGACTACCAGGGGGACCAGCAATCAGCACCAGAATCAGAAATCCAGGGACTCAGGGCAGCCTGCCCCAGGTCTTCACAGCCACGCTGAGCTCAATTACAGCGTGTCCCTCTTCATTCTTTGGAATCCATCAGACATCCTCCACTGTGTGCCCCCACCCCTGATCCCCACTTTCCAGCTCCACAGCTTTTACAGAAACTTCTCACCACCTGTATAAAAAAAATAATAATTCAGCCTCTTGACATAACCCTTCTGAGCAAACAGGGTCTTTTTTTTTTCTTCTGCTCATAAAAGAAGGAAATTTCCTCATCTGGTTTTTAGATGGAACACTAGCAGTCTTCAATGTCAAAGATGTTCTCCGGGGGGGATTACACTGGTGCTGTGGTGCAGGGTCACCGAGGCAGATCAGTTGGTGTCCATGCTGCAAGCCTCATCATCCCCCCGGCCCTGCTGTGAGCTTCCTGGTCTTGTCCCACCATCAGAGGATCCAGGAAAACTGAGTGAAGGTGTCTTATAAAATTCATCATCTCGACGCTGATAAAACAGCACGTAAGCTGCTTTTGTCTAAAACACAAGAAGGGAAAGTCCATTCACTGGTTGGAAAAATCACTCACTCCCCTCCTAGTTCTTCTCGTACTGTTCAGATCACACCACTCTTGGGGATCCGCCATCTTGCCCTGTGCACCCACATACAGGGGTGACAGCAAGGACCCTTCCACCTGAGGCTGGCTCATGCTGACCCTGCCCAGGGAGTGGGGACAAGCAGGGGCCCTGTGACAGACCCTGAGGAGAGCTGAGTGTCTCATTTAGGAAGGGTTGGGAAGGAATGGCAGCCGACTCTCTCTGCCACACCCAGCTCCCACTGCCCCAGCAGAATGACAAAATGACCAGCTAGCCCAGGAGACTCTTCCCAGTTCTAATCCCTAAAGGTAAGAACAGGAACTAGGTATTAGGGCCTACTCACCACTATCTGATCCTCAGAGGCCAGGGACACATTGCTATCATCAAAGTAATACCACTTCCCGTTCAGTTTGTTCTTCGCGTATGCAGTGTCTGCCAAATCAACAGAGAATACCCAATAGTCACCGGAGAGCTAACCTGGCTAGTTCATTAGGCTGGCACTCAACAGCAACAAAACTCCAAAAAATGAAACAGAGTCTGAAATTTAAAGTAATTTACATCTTATGTCCTAACAACCCAAAGATAACTCATACTTTAAAAAAAATCTCTTCCTTCTCAAAAAGACACTTAAAGGGTAAAAATGGAGCTGCCAGGGATCAAGGTTTTAAACAGCAATTTTGGAAAACTAATCCAAAAAACAGAGGAATCCACTGTCAATCTTCATGGTGGCTAAGAATACTTGAGCCGGAGATCCACAAAAGGAGCTGCCACTGTAAGATTTAAGCAAAACAACAGTTCTCAAAAACACGCCAAGTCAAACTCCCCCACTTCATCCGGGCAGATGGCTGGCTACTACTGCCTCTCACTCCCTCTGGAGCCTGTGGGGTAATCCCAGTGAGGGATACACTGGGTGTCTGGGTTTGCAGAGCTGGGATGTGGACAAGAAAACTTAAATTTATCTTCCTCGAAAACGATGAGTCAAGAGTCTGTGGCTGGGTAACAATTCCTCACATTGGTCCAAGCGTTCCACACAGCCAACACTTCCGGTTTTGATTTTATAGTATTTCCAAGCAGGATGTGTTTACAACAGCAATCCCAGCAGCAATGTCCAATTCCTGCTCCACCCAGACTCTAAAGACAGAATCAAATGAAGATCTGGTTTCTAGTCTCAACCTGCTGTGTGGCTTTGGTAAACTGTTTAACCATTCCTCACTGTAACATCTACTGTACCAAGTGAAGGTGAAAGTACAGGTGACAGAGGAGGTGCCAAGAGCCTGTCCCCACTGTCTGTGCTTGGTATTAACATTGGCAATCTTGGTGTTAGACAACTACATACCTAATGTCGGCCCTTACACAACCAGCCTAATCTCCTGGATGAGAAAACTGAAACATACAGAGGCTAAGAAACTTGCCCAAGTAGAATGTTTATGTGTTGAAGTAGCAATTTAAAGTGAATACATCTGTCCAGTATTATACGAACACAGAGATCAAAATTAACTTTGGGAGAAAAAGTTGCAGAGAACTAAATGCTGCAGGATGTGACGTGATCAGACTGCTAACAGCCACTCCAGCAGAGCCCCAAATTCAAACAGGCACAGTCCTCTCCTACAGCTAGATGGTAGCCATGTGAGCAAGTTATAGCCGATGAGATGTATATAGCGGAGTTGAGAGGGACTTCTGCTTAAAAGGGAAGGTCGTGCTCTTTTTTCCCTGTTGTTCTGATGGCCTGGAATATAAACCTGAGGGTTGGAGACTGAGCAGCCATTAGAGCCAGGAGGTGATATGGTACGAATGGAGAGGCAGGAGAAGAGACTGTTGGGCCAACAGAAGCTTATCAGCATAGGGGAGAAGACGGGGGTTTAGGGAAGTTCCATAATCCACTGTGACTGTGCACAGAACTAACACCTCATGGTGTCATATCCTGTGGTCCTGACAGTGGGTGTAGTGGCATTTATCATGGTGCAGATGCAACAGAGGAGACATGAGGAAACCCAGCTTCTCACTCCGATACCACTAACACCTTTCTGTAAACAAGTAACAAAATATACTAGGTCTTTTTATAATAAAAGTAATCCTACACATTATAGAAATCTTGGGAAAAAAATGAATAAAAAGAAAAAAGCAAAACCAACATTTTGGTATCTCTCCTTCTAGGCTTTCCTCCCTCCTATCATAGTTTGTCTTTTGATTTAATGTAGTTGTGACACTACCTTCTATAATGATGTAATTTTGTGTAACGGTTTTCACTTACCATATCGCAGGCATTTCCCCATGTTATTATTAATTTTATCTTGCAATGGCTGTGATCTCTTCCACCAAGCAGACGGACAGTAGTGCCAACTGCTGATCACCAACACTGTCCCTAATTTTCCACTATTATACATAGGTGAGTATCTCTGCATATAAAGCTTTTTCCCTAAGTCATTTCCTTAGGATAGATTCCCAGAGGTGGGTTACTGGATTAAAGAATATGAACCACTATCCCACCAAAAAATGGAGGGGCAGCAGTATGGAAAACCCTGAAACCCGAGGCCCCGGGGAGCTGTGTAAGTCAAGTGCTTAGGGCAATGCCTGGCACACAGGGAGAGGCTGGTGAAAGATGACTGGCCGAGGGCACTTCAACATCTCAGAAGGAAGCAGATGTCTGTACTTACAGTGGCCAACCCCCATGGCTCCATAATGATTGGACACGGCAATGAGGTCGTACACATAAGGCCTTGCTGACAGGTCACAGACAAACTCCGACATGTTCAGAGCTCTGGGCACAGAAACCAAAAACAGCCCTTCAGTACATTAAACTCAGAGAAAGAAGTCGGAGCAACCCAGCAACCCCTCTCATGCAACAGGCTACAATACAGGGAGGCACTCAGGAACGAACTGCAGAAGGAATGAATGAACAGACCAGGCAGAAGGGGCCCTGGGGTTTTGTTCTGACCACTGATACATTCCAATAGAAGTAAGAAGCCCCCTGGTAACTCCAGCGCCAGACCTAACGGCAAGGAAGGGCTCTGGGCGCAGACCCGACGGCTGCAGCAACGATACAGAAATGGCTGTAACTATCAAAATTTAAGCTAAATACCAAAACAGGCCCCAGAAAACTTTTTTCCTACTATTTTATTTTGAAAATTTCAAACACACAGAAAAAGAAAAAAGAAAATTTCAAACACATAGAAGAATTTTACAACAAATACCTATATACCCACCACCTAAGTTCTCCCACTGACATGTCTATACTTCCTGCATCTATCTACCTACTCTTCCCAGCCCCAAAACATTTTTAAATCTGCATTTTGTGGAGGAATGCCTACCTTGTTGACTTACTTTCCTGTGTCACTTACACCCTGTGGCCTGGCACCTGAGAGGACACCAGCAGCCAGTTCCAGTCTCTACCCTGGGGGTATGACTGTGGTGGATCTGTACCCCCATATGTGGCCCCCAATAATCCAATTCTCCCCAGCAGATTACTCTCTGGTTCCTTGTCCCCCTGCATTAATGAGATGCAGCATGTCCTTGTGCTGACCTGCTGAGCCCTGGCTCCCTGGGCCCCATGATGGGTGGGAAAACCAGTGCAGTTAGGGGGCATGAGGGACTCGAGAGGGAAGTGCTTCTACTGGA